GATATTACCACCTTGTTGGTGGTGGTTGCTGAAAATGAGAGTCTGGTGGAGGTGGCGATGGCTGTTGATACCAGTTTGGTGTGGTTCGCTACTGTTCGAAATCTGATAGAGACTGCTGTTGATATTGGAGGAACCATGGTAGCGGTTGTTGCTGGTACTACTTAAGCATCTTCTCAAATTTATCCATCTTTTTCGCCAATTGTACATTTAGTTCCTCTGCAATGACAAATGATAACTGATATTGATCGTAAGCACTTTTTAACTGAAAGCAATCTACTTTAAGGAAACATTTTGAATACTTTACATATATTCAAGATCTGATATTAGAAACTAGAAACAAAAATGTCATTTTCTCAACATTTCATCATTCTCCTCTCTCAAAGAAATTCATAATACAAACCAGACCTTTAAATTTATAAAATATCTCACTTGCACAACAAAAAGGGCAGCACAGTTTTTTCTACAAACAGGTGGGTTTGCAAACTTCACCCTCTCTGCATTATAAATCTTATATGATGTAAATATATAACAAATCTTCATATATAGTAATAACATGAACGAAACAAATGAACATATAATAGAGCTATTAGATTGCTGTTCAGAGTGAGTAGTCACAAATCATTTTCCTTTTCCTTTTACATTTCGTTTCCACAAGTCATTATTTTAATTAATTAATCATTTTCTAAGTGCAAAAAACTCAGATTTAAAAATAAAATAAAAAATAAAATTGTTAAATGAGATACAAGACAGGTTCATATTAATCAAATATAGAGGAATGAGGATAAACTTATAAAAATTATACCTGCATAAAAACTTTTTTAACTTTTTATTATTATTATTATTTATCTTTGGTATTTACAAGAAGAAGTTAATTTTGGCACGTTGAAATATTATATATTGTGCGCTAGCTGCAGAAGTTGCACGTAGCGTATATATATAGAGGATGCACACATTGTTAGTAATGAGTATGGCATAAAGAATGAGAGAGATGAATTGAGTGAGATAAATGATACATTTAAAAGGTCAGCACAGCTTCTTCAACAAACAGGTGGGTTTGCAAACTCACCCTCTCAGCATTATAAATCTTTTATGATGTAAATATACAACAAATTCTCATATATAGTAATAACATGAACGAAACAAATGAACATATAATATAGCTCTTAGATTGCTTGTTAAGAGTGAGTAGTCCCAAAGAAATGAAAAAAACGGGGTTTAGTGAGAGAGGCATGTATATTCCCAAATCTAGGAGATACAACTTGAATTTGGCACTGCTTATTATTTCTTAGGTTTAAGGGATTTCATGGGCATTTTTATTCTTTTGACTTGAGATTTGGGGCTTAATAAGTTTTTCTTTTTTTAATTAACAAATTAAAACTAAATGTTGAGTTGATAAAAATATGCCCTTTTATCTTCACACAACAAAATTCACTTTCAAGTTGAAAATAAAATAAAAAATGAGGTGGTAATAGTTTTATATATATAAAAGGATCTTGACAATCGGGTTTTGTTGTCACAGATGTATTAAATATTAATTAAAGCATTTTAAAAAAATGAGAGACTGTATTTTGTATTTATTATCGGACAAAAATTAAAATTATTGGACTTTATTCATTGGAGTTGTTACAAAAAACCGATTGAACATTATAGTGTACTCAATTACTCATATAAAAGATGAAGGCCTTCCAAAATTGAGACCAAAATCAAAGCATAAATTCTCTCTCTCACACGCATATAAACAAATATCACACATAAAATCAAATTTAGTAGTCCCCAAGTAGCCGAATGGAACACTGGTACTACCTGCAGTGCCTAACCTGATCTGAAAGGAAAATTACTTGTTCCTTCTGGATAGAATGTGATCCCTATATTGCTAGCTTTTTCGAATCTCAGCCTATGATTGAGTATAGATATGAACTGAAATATTACTACAAAATATTGAATCCAAAATATTGAATGAGTAGTCTGAAACCTTGAAAAGTATTTTGAAAATCTTTTTCTCGTCAAACTACTAAAATGTTAAAAAAATATATATCTTATCCTTTCTTTTTTTACAATTTTTATCTAACGAAATAGAGTAAGTGGATTTTTTAACTCAACTTTTCACATGAACACAACTTTTAACTTCTCTCAACGTGAACCTTCTTTGTCACATGGCCCCAACATTTCAAATTATTCTCATTATATTTTTTTATTTTTTAAACATGAAATGTAATGAATGAAAACCACACTTAATCAGCAATAATTCCTCACCTCCATTTGTGCACAAAAAATCAAGAATGGTCACTTGAAGGCATGTGACTCTCTATAAACCGCAAAAATATTATGAGATCCAAATTTCATAATCCAACATGCTAGCTTATAGTTAACTTACAAAATTCCTCTTATAGCTTTCTTGTATGCCCATCCACCTAATTCCTTAAAATGTGTGTCCTTGTACAAGTGAATAGCAGGATCCTCATCCCTTTCACCATCCTCATCTTCTTGGCTTTGCCTTTCTTTGAGTTTGACCTGCAGTACAAAGTAATAGTGACTATTAGACAAATATATGATTTTGAACGTAGAATATAAAATAAAAAAATTTATAATTATTGTTTCATATATTACGTACATAAACATTGTAACGTCTAACGAAGGACATCGATCCAAAATAATGTGAAACCTCATTCTTGGAATGGATTTCTTTATTTTTTTCACTTATTTCCTAGGTAGTAAGTCAAACAATATTACAAATTAGGAAACCCAAATAGCTAGTAAATAAAGTTATTATATTAAATGATTTCAAGTAAATAGTAAAAAATAAGTAGTTAAGAAATTGAACCTGAAATTCTGGTGACATCCATGTATCACACAACTTTTGCCAACAGCATGACCAATACCATAGTAAGGATGGCGGCATGCATTCTCAATCGGAAGATGCTCCTCAAAATGACACTTCAATTTACATCTATATTTCCTCAACACGCTGGAAATTCCCTTTAATAATTGGACTACATGCCCTTTAATAATGAAAATACATCTTCATTAATCATCGACTAAATTTCAGGTGAATCACTATTTAGATGAATTTGTTAAATTTAGAAGTTCTTTCCAAACAAACACCTATGAACTTTATAATATTTTCACCTCCTAGAATCTCTATGTCCTGATATTGACAACAGTGGGACAATCGACTATGGTGAATTTCTTGCTGCTACCTTGCACATGAATAAGGTAGCCAAACGGCCCAAAAAGTTCTAAATCAGAAAATACATCCACAATAATGTTGAACTAAATTACAGAAAATTGCATTTATGCTCCACAGTTATGAGAGCTAAGTTTGTCCACAATAATCATGAATTAAATTCAGCATCAGATCCACCACATACAGGTAGTTAGTTTGTCAATGGCCTATTCATATGATTAAAAAAAAAAAAAAAAAAAAAAAAAACAGAAAATTCGTCCACAATAATGATAAACTACTGTTGGCACCAAAACTTGGCAGCCACTTCAGCAGCGACGTGGACCAATGGGAAGTCGATAAGGGTTGAGCATGTCCAAGAATGGATCGGCCAGTTTGAAGATATTAGGAGCAAATATAGAAAGATATATTTCAGCCACCTAATGATATGGCAGTTGCTGAAATATAGCAACTCACATTTGACTTTTTTTCAAAATGGGATGTTAACAGAAAAGGAAAAGGCTAGAGTTTGGATGAAACTCAATAACTAAATTCCTATAAAATAGGAAGTTTAGTTTGATGAAAGAAGGAAAGCTTTGAAGACATGGCGCTAAAGGATGGGCCACTTGGGATAGAACACGGCTGCCAAGTTTATAAAAGGAAGTTGCTAGAACTTAGCAACTTTTCAGCAACTTTCTAGCAACGTTTTAGCAATATCTCGGCAACTTACATGTGATTAAATCGAGGAAGGTTGTTTTTTACAGAGATTTCCTACTAAAACAAAACAAGAAAGGAAGCAGAATAACAATAGGATTTGACTAAGTTCAAATTGTGAAGAAAAGAATCAAAGAAGGAGAGATTTTCTAGCAATAACTTAGGAGAATAAGTTGAGATAGAACTTCTATAAATAGAAGTATTGTATTCCTATTCCAATGGTCCAGCACCACCACAAAACATGCATTTCAACTAAAAATGTTTTCAATTGACTCTACGTCATTTTTTTTTCCTATCAGTTTCTTTATTTCAATTTAATGGCAATTGATTAGATCATTGTCAACTATTTCAATTCAGCCATTTACTTTCTTTCAATTTCAATTATGCCAATTTAAATTACGCAATTTTAGTTAGGCTTTTAATTCAATGGCAATTGATTAAATTCTTGCCATTGAATCGTAGTGACAATTGATTAAATTCTTGTCATTACTTGGCTGATGGCAATTGATTAAATTCTTGCTATCACGTTTCAGTGGCGATCGATTAAATTCTTGCCATTGTGTTTGGCTGATGGCGATTGATTAAGTTCTTGCCATCACGTTCGGCCGGCGATCGATTAAGTTCTTGCCGCCTGTCTTCACTCGGCCATTCCACCCATTCAAACATTCATCAGTCGTTGCATTTCTTTAGACACTCTAAAAAGTCCTTGCTACAAACAAGGCATAAAAGAACCTTGCTGGGAGTTCTTACTAGTCTCTCTCCCACACAATTGCCTGAGAGTCAGCCATCGGAAAAAGGGATAGGCTGGTGTTCAATTACATATTTTGGGTATTTTGTATAAATACTCTGGCACGCCCGCGAAGAGTCCATCGACCGGCGTAAGGAACAAAAACCGCTCGAACACGTTTTGGCACGCCCGGTGGGACTACTACTAGAGTGTTATAAAAGAGGCAAATATGCCGCGGCTCACAAAAAATTCTAAGGCCGTGGCTACTGATGAAGATTTGGAGGAAGGCGATCAGCCAGTATAGGCTGAGAACTCTGCAGCAGGTCCTACTGATGAGTTAGCCGTTCTTCAAGCACAGGTTAGCTCCTTGGTAGATGCAATGAGAACTTGCATGAAAATATGTCCCAACTCTCAGCCTTTATTTTGAACAAGCCGACTCAAGCTAGCAGCTCCAACAATCAGGAATCGGCTTCTCAGCCAAATCTATCCCAATCTGCTCGGCCAGAGAGGGCCATTGAAACATCACAGCCATGGCCGCCAATAGTGACACTCCAACCAGGTACAACATCAAGTCAGCCGGTTCATACGCTACTCACCTGGGCAGAAAGCTATCCTCAGCCTACGTTGGCAGGTTCTAATCAGCCACCAGTAGTAGGTTCGCAGCCACAGGTAATTCTACCAAACCCTCCTCGGATGCCTTTGAACTCGGGGGGCAATCAGATCAGGTGGAGGCCACCGAACCCACTGTATACTCATGTGCCGCCACAGGTAGGGCTCGGGGGGCAGAATATGGCTAATCAGCCACATGATTGGCCGATTTGCTATCAACCAGCGGCTAATCAGCCGCCAATTTTTAATCAGGTACCACCAATATTCAATCAGCAACCTCAAGTCATGTTAGATAGAAGACAATTAGCTGATTTACTCACAGAAGAATATGGCCTGGAACTTAGAGGTGCCGGCCGACCAATTTATAGAACTCCTTATCCAGAAGTGGTAGACCAAGTTGAGTTCCCTAGAGGATATAAAGTCCCTGACTTTGTAACCTTTAGTGGAGAGGGGAATCAATCGACCGTGGAACACATTGGCCGATTCACGGTTCAATGTGGAGAGGCCAGTGTTAGCCCGTGGTTGAAATTGAGACTTTTTCCTAACTCTTTGACAGGGGCAGCTTTTTCATGGTATATTCGTCTACATCCTAACTCTGTTTCTAATTGGCCACAGATGGAGGAATTATTCCACAATCAGTTCTACCGTACGGAGACAGAACCTACTCTGGCTGATTTATCCAGGCTAAGTCAATTGCCTAGTGAATCGGTCGAGACATTTATTGCAAGATTTAGGAGAGCAAGATTAAGATGTCGTGTACCTCTTCCAGAACAGGAGTACATTCGTTTGGCTTTGAACGGCCTTGATTTTGAACTTCGGAAGAGGTTTGAAGGAGTTCCATTTCGTGACATGTATGACCTGGCCGAGAAAGCTACCAGGTATGAGTTGGTTCTTAAAGAGGAGAAAGAACGAAAAAATTCCTCTAAAGGTACGTACTATAGGGACCCCAACTATGAAGTTTATTCAACTGATGTGGTTGAAGAGGAAGATTTTGAAGCTAATTTAGCCGAAGTCATTCTAAAGAAACCTTATGTATGTGACGCTTTAACAAAACCAAATGTATCCACCAGTGGTACTCAGCCATCGACTTCATCGGCCAGGAAGGGTACGGCTGATACTGGTAAGGTTTATACGTTTGATCTGGCCAAAACAGAACAAATTTTTGATCATTTGTTGGCCGACAAACAAATCGTTTTGCCAAAAGGACACAATATACCATCGACCAATGATTTAAAAGGAAGAGAGTTCTGCAAATTTCATAATTCATGGAATCATACTACTAACAATTGTTATGTATTTAGAAATGTATTGCAGAAATCTATCGATGAAGGTGTATTGAAATTCCCTGAAAAGAAGCCAGATGTAATGGGGGTCGATGGCGATCCATTTCCTAATATTGTCAGTACCAATGTAATCAGCCTGGCAACTGAAAAAGCCGCTGATAATGGTAGACAGGAAAGATTACCAAAAGTTCTTGGTAGTTCATCGGCCAGTAATGATGAGCAGAAAGTTAAGGACTTGGAAATTCAGTTAAGAGAAGCTCAAATTGCCCTCATCAACCATGGTTGTTGTCCAAATTGCAAAGGCCGAAGGAATGACTCAGACAAGAGGGGCTATTTCCAATCAACCAGAAAGCGCAGTGTCCATGAAAGGTTAGGCCATCAGCCTAGACAGAATCACGAAGAAATCAATCGATCAATATTTAGAGAAAATGGGCCAAGGGCAGTAAGAATCATTCGGTCATCGGTGGCCGATAGAGTCCTGCCAGAACAACATTTTTATCCTAGTTTCAAAAGGAAACCAACAATTCAGTCAGAAATATGGGTTCAAAAAGGAGAAGAATCTAGCCGTGTAAGAACGGTTAGACCTCCTTTGGTTGACCATGGCAGATGGACTCAAGTAAGTCACCCAAAGTTTCCTAAGCAGCCTCCTACACGTACCCAAAAAAGGAGGATGCAAAGGAAAAATGCAGAACTCAAAAGGAAAGAAGACAAGATCGACCATGATCAACTAGAAAGGAAAAATGAACCAGTGGTGGCTGAAGACATGGAGGTCGCTACATCCTTTAAGAATAAGGCATGCTTTTATGAAGAAAAAGATGATCAGCCAGACCAGGATCCAAAGCATGCGGCCAAGTACAGAATTCGTTTTGGTTCTCTCCCGGATGAGGTAAATTGTAACATGGTATTTGTTTTGCCTTCTGTGTTTGAAGCAAGGATAGAACCAACGATGAACAGGGATGTTGAGTCAGCCAAGCAGAAAGAAAAGGCTGAATCTTCAGAAATTAAGAACGATTCGACAATTTCATCGGCCGGGATAGGATTGATCTCTCAGGATCAGCCATCTGAGGCCGATAAAATTATTTTTGAAAAACCACCTTTGTCCATGACACAGCAGTTGAGGCCGTTGTATGTTAAAGTATGGGTTGAGGGTCAGCCAATCAATAGGGTTTTGGTTGACAATGGTTCGGTGGTGAATGTTATTCCATCAACTACTTTGAAGAAATTGGGTAAAACCATGGATGATGTAGTTCCAACCGACGTAGCCATCAGTGGTTTTAATGGAGGATCTAGTAACACTAAAGGTATTCTACCTTTGGAAATTACTATTGGCGGTAAGACATCCTTTACGGCTTTCTTTATCATTGATTCAACCGCGGCCTATAATCTCCTTTTAGGCCGAGATTGGATTCATCCTAACATGTGCATCCCATCAACCTTGCATCAAATGTTGATTTTTTGGGACGGAAATGAGGTAAAAATTGTTGAGGCCGATAACAAACCCTTTATAGCTAGGGTGTATTCGGCTGAGGCTGCACTTTATGATGAAACTGTTGTACCTATCAAATTTGTTGGCATTAACAGGATGGGACGACCAGCAGCGGCAACAATGAAGAAGAATTTAATTAATGCTGATATTAAAGAATTATTGTCAGAAGCAGCTCGGCCGAAAATTGATATTTTCAGGTCGACCATCAAGGACATTGAAGATGTTACTGATGGATCACAAAACCAATGAAGAAAAGAAGTGGCAAGCTTTCAGGGCCGCTTGCATCAGACTGAAAGCATATCTGGCTGAGAAGAGACTGGCCAGAGAAGAACAACTATATGAAAAGGTATCGGCCAGCACGGCCGATATAATTGAAGAAGGTTTCGAAAAGCTGGATGCAATCCAACTTGAAGATTTGGAGTCAGCCCCTTCCAGGATGGAAGATAATAAAGCAGAGGTGCAAGATACTTTATTGGAAATAAATGTTGGTACTAAAAAAGATAATCGGCCATTATTTGTTAGTGCTTTGCTTGAGCCTAAATTCCAGGCCGATTTGATTAAATTATTAAATGAATATAAGGATTGCTTTGCTTGGAGTTATGAAGAGATGCCTGGCCTGTCTAGAAAATTGGTAGAACATAGATTACCGATCAAGAAAGATTTTCAGCCATATAAACAACCACCAAGAAGGATGTCTTCGGAGGTAATGCTCAAAATTAAAGAAGAAATTGAAAGACTTCTTAAGGCAGGATTTATTCGAACAGTTAGGTATGTTGAATGGTTGTCTAATGTTGTTCCTGTAATGAAAAAGAACGGCAAACTTAGAGTTTGTGTGGATTTTCGCAATTTAAATAATGCCACTCCAAAAGATGAATATCCAATGCCTGTGGCCGATCAACTTATTGATTCGGCCGCTAAGCATGAAATATTGTCTTTTATGGACGGCCATTCAGGTTATAATCAAATCTATTTAGCCGAGGAAGATGTTCATAAAACGGCTTTTAGATGTCCTGGGTCAATTGGTACTTTTGAGTGGATTGTGATGCCATTTGGCCTAAAAAATGCCGGGGCTACTTATCAAAGGGCAATGAATTCTATCTTTCATGATATGATTGGCCGATTCATGGAAATTTATATAGATGATGTAGTTGTGAAATCATCGGCCAAGAGACAGCATTTGGAACACTTGAAAAGGGCCTTTGAAAGGATGAGGATTCACAAATTGAAAATGAACCCATTGAAGTGCGCATTTGGAGTTTCAGCCGGGAATTTCTTGGGGTTCTTGGTACATAAACGAGGTATTGAAGTTGATCAGAACAAGGTCAAAGCTATTATAAATGCTAGGGCCCCAGCCAACAAAAAACAAGTGCAAAGGTTCCTCGGCCAGGTAGGTTTTCTTAGAAGATTTATTTCTAACCATGCTGGCCGAGTGCATGTCTTTTCGACTTTAGTGAAATTAAAGTCACATGAGAAATTTCATTGGGACGAGTCCCATCAGAAGGCCTTTGAAAAAATAAAAGAGTATTTGGCAAACCCCCCGGTTGTAATGCCTCCAAGAAAGAAGTGGCCGTTAAAGCTTTATTTATCGGCCGCAGAAGAATCAATTGGTAGTATGCTCGCACAAGACAATGAACATGGAAAGGAGCAGGCTGTATACTACCTGAGTAGAATACTGACTGATGTAGAATGCAGATATTCCTCAATTGAGAAACTTTGTTTATCTTTGTACTATTCGGCCATGAAGTTGAGAGTATACATGCGGCCTGTTGATGTTTACATTCTTTGTCAGACTAACGTGATCAAGTATATGCTATCAAGGCCATTGATTACTGGCCGAATAGGTAAGTGGGCTTTGGCTTTGATGGAATTCAATTTTATCTACATCTCACAAAAATCAGTAAAAGGAAGGGTTCTGGCTGATTTTTTGGCCGATCATCCTTCAACTGATATTGATCCATGGGTTTATGATGAATTGGAGTCATCAGCTATATTCTTAACTCCTTGGATCTTGATGTTTGATGGATCAAGCACGGCTGATGGAGCAGGAGCAGGTATTGTTATTATTTCGCCAGCTGGCAGAAAGGCTTCATTCTCTTTCTTTTTAGATTTTAAATGTTCAAATAACCAGGCCGAATATGAAGCACTTATAATCGGCCTAGAGATTTTAATTGAAATGGCTGTTAGAGATGTAAAGATTTTGGGAGATTCAAACTTAGTCCTTAGCCAAATTTCTGAAGATTTTAAGTGCCTAAGTTGGCAATTAAGGCCGTTTCATTCTCTGGCCACTTCATTAATCAATCAATTTGATAATGTTCAACTTAAGTTCTGGCCGAGAGGGCAGAATAAGGAGGCCAATAGCATGGCTCAAGCAGCCTCTGGAATAAGAGTACCAGCCGGAATAGAAGATCAGTTGATAAAGATAACACGAAGATATTTGCCATCGGCCGAATTGAGAAATACTATGTTTGATACTTGGACAATTGATGTAGAAGATTTGGCCTACGATGACTGGAGGATACCATTTATAATGTTCCTTCAAAATCCAAACATCAAGGCTGATAGAAGTATTAAAAGAAAAGCGATCAACTTTGTGCTTCTAGATGGGGATCTATACAGAAAAGGGTTAGAAGATGGGCTCTTACTACAATGCATAAGCAAGGAGGAATCACTTCAGGTTATGGCCGAGGTACATGAGGGCAGCTGTGGGGCTCACCAAGCTGGGATTAAAATGAGATGGCTGATTCGCAGGTATGGATATTATTGGCCGAGAATGAGGAAAGATTGCATAGATTACTCAAAAGGTTGTCAAGCTTGTCAAAGACACGGGCCGATTCAGAATGTACCAGCAAAAGAATTACAGCCAATAATCAAACTTTGGCCATTCAGAGGTTGGGGCCTTGACCTTATTGGTAAAATTAATCCACCATCAAGCGAAGGCCATCACTGGGTGATTGTTGCCACAGATTATTTTACTAAATGGGTTGAGGCCAAGGCTTGCAAAGCGGTTGATCAGCAATTAGTGATTAATTTCATGGAGCAAAACATCATCCACAGATTTGGGATTCCAGAAACACTTGTTTCAGACAATGCAACAGTATTTAGAGCAACTGATGTACTACAATTCGGCCACAACATGAATATTCATATGTCAGCCTCTACGCCATACTATGCTCAAGCAAATGGCCAGGCCGAATCTTCAAACAAAATTCTAATTGAGATCATTGAAAAAATGATCAAAGATAAGCCAAGAAGGTGGCATGAGACTTTGTCTGAAGCTTTATGGGCCTATAGGAACTCAAAAAGAACAGGCACAGGAGTTACACCATACATGTTAACTTATGGTCATGATGCTGTTCTGCCTATGGAGATGAAGGTTAAATCAGCCAGAATTGCTTTTTCAAAATAATCTAACTCCAGCTGATTATACTCAAGCAATGTTGGTAGAATTGGAAGATTTGGATGAATTTAGAAGGGATGCCTTGGATCATATCATAGCTCACAAGAAGAAAGTGATGAGGATCTACAACAAGAGGGTAAAACCTAAGTCTTTTGCTGAAGAAGATTTGGTTTGGAAAGTTGTTTTGCCAGTGGGTAAAGTCGATAGGAAATATGGGAAGTGGTCCCAAAAATGGGAAGGGCCATACTTGGTCCATCAAGTCTTAAGTGGAGGAGCATATAGGCTGAAGTATTTCAGTGGTCGATTACATGACTATCCCATTAATGGCAAGTACCTTAAAAGGTACGTACCGACAATCTTTGAAAGGGAAAATTAGTGTTAGCCAGTACTTATGGCTGACCATGTGTACCTTTATGTAATAAAAATCGGCCTATTTTTCTAGGCTGATTTGGCTATTTTAATAAATTTTTTCTCGCTAAAATGTTGATGCTTGTTTGGAGTAACAAAAGAGGCCATTTATTCATTGAAGTGTAAAAGATTACATCATTTAAAGATCATACACTAAGATGGCCACAAAAGGAAGCTAATAAAAAAAAAAAAAAAATTCATATGTTTGCAAATTTTTCCTTGAAATCGGCCCAAATAACTAAGGACCGATTGAAGGCCACCATGGCCTGCCTCTTTGACTCTTCCAATTGAGGTAATTCTCCACGAAGATTTGCATGCTCGTGAGCAAGGTCTTGAGCTTCAAACTGCAATGTGGCAGCTTCAGCAGACAAGATGGCCTTACGAGCATGGATCTGGTCGATCTCTTTCTGAAGGACATGTTCTCTTTCCTCAAGGCCGATGAACTCTGTATTCACTCTTTCAAAGGAGGAAGCTTGAATTAACAATTGGTTAGCAAGGGTATCCTTCCTGTTTTTACTCTGGTTGAATTGGTTGATTGCTTCATTGGCTTGGAAAATATCATCGGTCAAAGTTGGTAGCTGGCCTTTAAAGGTAGCAATAGTGGCTTGAAGATCAACCGGAAAGTCTGGGTACTGGCTGAGTGTAGAAAGCACTGCTGTGAGTTCACTTTCAAAATTAGGAAGATCAGCAGCATCCCTTTTCAAGATCTCAAGTAAAGATTTTTTGGTCTCTTCTAAGGATTGTATAGGGATATTGGTTGAAGTGACTGGGGTGGCTCCAGAAGATTCACTTTCTTTCTCTTCGGTCACTGAAGCCACCACATCCTTAAAAAAATTGCTCAAAGCCAATAGGGATGAAGCAGGAACTTTTTGTGGAGGAAGTAAAGGAATAAATTGAGTTTTCTCATACACAACCTGACAAAATGAGGAAAGATTAGATCTTAAGTTTTTTTTTTTTTTGGGAACATGAGATAGTCAATACCTTAGATGATTCGGCTATATCTGTTATTAAGAGTGGTTGATGACTGGTTTCTAGAGGAGGAAATTCTGGCTGAACCGCTGTGCTATCTCCCTGGGATGAAGTTTTAGCAGGAGTGACTTGAACATTGAAGGGCACCTCAATGGGATCATGAAAATCCTTCAGAGGGCTGAAATTTCTAACTGGGCTATAGACCAAGTCAAGAAGAGGAGATTGCTACAAAAGAGAAGAAATTAAGGATCATATTAATTGAAAAGTTTGGAAATTTCAAGTATAGTTATCTTTACCTCTTTTTCATCTGAGGAATGATCAGAAGGAGTGTCAGTCACATTAATTACGGG